GACATCGTTCCTCTGTCGCCGTAGAATAATGGCGTCGCCCCATCTGCTCCGCAGCTCACCTCACTCATTCACTCATCCATTCCTTCCTTGGTCTCGCATCCTCTGGTCCTGACCGAAACCGACACTTTGTATGCATCCTCCATCAGTTTGTATGTTCAATCAATATTTTACCGCTCATTCCTTCAGTGATATTCGCTCAGTGTGTGTCTGTCATCCGCTTACTGTTCCTTCATTCATGTGTTATTTTTCATGGATTAAGCATTTTATCATATTCATACCTTGAAATTGTCTTACACACATGTGAATGTTGCCCCCCCCCCCCTCCCTCACCTTGTAAAAAGTGGATGTAGCAGAACAGGTACTCAGCTTGTACCTGGTACTGAATAAACAGAAACACTAAATGGCTCCTTGTACCAGAAGACTTCAATAAACTCTGCACCTTTAAATCTTTCATATTGCTTAGAAATGGTTTGGTTTGTTTTTTTAGAAACCCTAAAACCTTTAACCTCTGCACCCATCCTACTAACACTTTAGGGATTTCCAACAATTGGTTGTTTGGTAGTAAGTTGCTCACATCTCATGTAGCTATCCAACATTTACTTGTGTGTAGAATCGCATGGATGACAAATGAATGAAATAAAAAAAAAAAAAGTAAGAATGCAAGATTTGTGCCTGTTTTGTGAAATGAATACAAAGCAACTTCATGTTCGTATATGTATATCTAAATATATATATATATATATATATATATGTGCATATTTGACACCATTCATCTCTTTGGAATAATTATTCCATGATTTTTATTTATAAATTAAAAAATTAATCTATTATTCAAATCTGGAGAAGCCATGTTGTGATCTAGAAAATAAAAACAATCTTTTCAGGAAATAAATTTACTTGACTTCACAACACTCAAATGTTTTAATCCCACTTGCATGTGTATATGCATATAATTTTATTTAATGAATGAAATTCCAAAAATATGCAATAAGACTTTTAAGCATAATCATGGAGTCATTTTTTTTAAATGCATTTTCAAAAAAAAAAAAGTAAAAAATGTTACTGTCAACATTAATAACAAATGTCAGCTTTGTAAAGATTAAGTAAACATCGTATCATGAGCATATTCATGAGATGCATTCATAAATTTAATGATATCAGATTCTAACCAATCCAGTTGAATTTTTTAGAATACAAAAAAGCATCACCATAATATGGGGTCCATATTTTATTCTCAATGTCCACCTCCAAAACACCATAGTTCTAATCTTCTGCAAACATTTTAATGCTCAACACAACATGTTTAATGTGAACTGGACAGTTTGTTTTTCAAAAGTAATATCTTCAATTAAATCAACGATCTGGCTTCACACACAAGGTTCCAAATAATTTAAAATTACACATATATTTAAAGAATAAATGTTACATCAAAGTTTTATGATACTATCTAGTTCAAGTTTTTGATCCTAGTAAGACTGTTCTTGTTAGTGGACTCAGTCCTTTTCCCTGTGAACAAGTTAAACATGGACCCATTGCCCCAAAATCATAGAAATAAGAAACAAGCATTCAACCATCACCCCCTTTTTTGTTCTTGTTTTTTTTTTTTTTTTTTTTTTTTTTTCGTTTTTAGTCTCCATTTACCAAACAGTGGAAGCATGTGTTCCCATAAAAGCATCAATTCCTGTCTTCCAAAAGCATGTAAGCCCAACTCCCAACCTTGCCATGTGCTTCAAAGCCCAACATAATGTTTTCTACGTACCCATTTAAAAGGAGGTGGTCAAGCTTTGCTTTGCATTCTACATGTTGGTGGTAATGAAAAAGAGAGCTTAGTAAAATGAGGAATTGGGCATTTGAGTTTGGTGGTGTTTCATGAAGAACAAATAAACACCAACTGCATTGACCCCCATCCAATCTAATGGATTTGATTTGATGTGGGTCTTGTAATATGATAAGTCATGTTTGCCCGTACGTCCATTTTCACAACTATCTTTCTATTCCTATGCATTTTCATCCATTTTTTCCACGATAAGAAAATATCAATAAAAAGAATCTTAAAACATCAAGTGATTCTTGACTATATATATATATATATATATATGTGTGTGTGTGGGGGGGGGGGTGGGTGAGTGTATTGAATTGTTAGTGAAATATTACAATTCATCAGCATCCCATTTGAGCATCATACAATAATTTGGTCACACAATTAAAAACAAATATATAATAATAAAATGACAAAAATAAAAAATCTCTTATCCATAAATATTTGTGATTTTTTTATTAATATTATTTTTTCCATTTTACAATAAATGCATAAATTTAGTATTTATTATTAGCTCTGAAAGTTTTTCTTACATATAGCTCAAACCATATTTTAATTGCAGTTAGATGTACTTCCGTTTCATTTGGCATTAATTTAAATTAAAGTATTACAATATTGGATCTGCTATTGTAGTTATATGTATACATTTTTTTTAATAATATGTATTTGTTTGAATTATAAATCAGTATTTATAAGTTTAAATAGTTATATGATGTTTACTGCTTCATGAGTTGTGACTTTTGCACAAAAAAACTACTATCCATAAGTTTATTATGTCAAAAAAAATAAAAAATAAAAAATCTTAGTTTTGAGGTTTCGAGATTTTAAATAATTTGTTAATTGGAATATATGAATTATATATTTTTTGGACCTTTCACAAGTCAATAATCTAGATATATCTATACCGTTGGATGTGTTGCTCTTGAGCTTTTTATTTTGTAATATTTAAGATACTTTCTGTGTAATTTCCAAAATTCATACAGACATAGTGATTTTATTTAACACAACGTGTTGTAAAATGTTGATAACATATAAGAAATGACATAACATCTGAATCTTAACACATACAATGACTGAAAATTGTGCTTCTGCTGATATGTACACAAGTCACAAATTTGATACTGAATTTATAAATTTATTTATTCAAAGTTATACTTTAAATGGCTTTTGAAACAGATGATTGGTTGTGATACTCCATTTGAATCTGAATGGTCAGTTTTGACTTTAAGAGGGAACTTATTATTATTATTATTATTAAATACATATTTATGGAATTCAAATAATAATAAAATGATGATGATTGTATTAATGTCCCACAATGCTTTTGCAGAAGATTTTTATATTTACATTTATTTTTATATTATTTTTATATTTATATATATTTTAAATACTTTCTTCTATAATAAAATTTGTATAATAAAACAAGAAGATTTTTTTAAAATATATCACTTTATATATTATAATAATTATAAAACATCGTGTACATTTTTACACATTTACCTAATTTCTAAATGTATATTTTTAGAAATATAAAAAGCTACAAATTACTTACTATACATTTTTTATATACTGAATTTCTTATAAGTAAAAGTTCTTATTGCTATATGAAATGAAACCAAAATCATAATAAGAGAATAATATTAAGTTATTTTTATTTTATTTATTTTATTTTTTGAATAAAGAAATGCAGAAAGAGGTCATTCAACAAAATCACAAGCAAAGAACACTGAAGTGTCTTTTGAGGTTGGTGAGATTATTTTTGTTGATTTTTTAAAATATAAAAATAACGAACTACATTTTTTTAAAAAGATAAAAATGGTAGGCACAACAATGCAATCAATACTAGTGACACAATTGAAAAACACTATAAATGGTAAACAATTATAATCCTATCTCAATTCTAAAGAGTTTCAATAATATGATTATTAATTCACACTTGCAAAAGTTGGAAGAAGTTGTGTGTGCAATATTCTGGAAAGAATTGAATATACTTTAACATTTAATTTTATAATTATATATGTTGCTTTTCAACAAACTAAATCGAAACATATCATCACTTTATTTTCTACTAACCAATATATATATATATATATATATGTATATATAATAGCAGGTACACAAATGTTGTTTATCATCAAACATATGAATGCTAATTTTTATAATTATTCTTATTCTTGTATACATAAATATAGAAGAGGGGTAATGAAGAGACACAAATACAATTAATTTAAGACCCTAATTAGATATTGTTGTAAAGCAAGAATCCCTAAGACTACTTCAGTGACAAATCAATGATTTACTTACACATGTTACTCTTGGAACCAACCAAAACTCCTCCATGACAGAACCAATCCATCCATCCATCCACCATTCATCCATCCATTCATTCATCCACCCATCATCCTCAACGTTAAGCAAGTCATTTTCAACACATGGGCGGTGGCCCTATGCTCAGAAAACCATGGAAAAGCAAAAAAACAATATAAAGACAAACCATTTGTCATACACATTGCAACTAATGGTGGAGATGGTAATGGCTCCCTATTCGCTTATTTAAACCCACACCAAAAAGGCAATGCACATGCCACGAAGCCAAAAAATTAAAAATTAAATGATACCTATAAGGCCAGGGTGGAATAAATAAACCACCACGGAAATAGAAACTCCCGCGGTTAAAGGATGTGGACCGCCAAAACCCCGAGGGCGAAGAGTGCCAAGTGTGAAGACCATCGCAACGTGGGGCAGCAGGGGTGGCTTCCTCCCCAAGCCCCGCCTCGGAATATCCACCGTGGCTTGACCAGCAAGCAGCGTTCCCATGCTGAGCCGTGTTCCCGAAAGCTGTCTGCAAGCGTTACTTGGAAAGCGGGGGTGTTGTCGGCATTTGTGGCTGTCAGAGACTGGCTACGATGAGAAAACGTCGATCTCGTTTGGAGCGTCAGGGTTAGAAACAGGTGTTGAATTTGCCTCCCCGAGAACTCCGGTGGATGGAATTTCTGTAATAGAAACCCAAATTCTTCAAATATTCGTAGAATTCAGCTCCGAATCATCTGTTGTTTTTACTATTCAGACCTACAGCGTGAAGTGGAAGCTCACATCCACGATCGTGTGGCTAGTATTGACCTCGGGTTCTTTCCCCTTGGATTCGCGTGACCCTGCGTAGCACACCGCCACGGCAAGACGAATAAGAAGAATCAGATCGATTCGATCACGGTGAAGTGGAGCGTACTTTAACAATTCGTGTAACAATCCTGTCTAAATTGACTGTTTCTGGAGGACTCCATAGGCGATTTTGTGCCATCAGCCTCTGCAGCTCTACATCCCTAACCTGACAGCACTTAAAACTTGTACAACTTGTTGCTTTATGGTCTAGGTAGAAGCTTTCTTGTAGAATTGGGTTGTAGAATCGAGTTGTTCGTGTTTTGGAGGACCAAAATTGGCGACTTGTAGCAGAAACGCTGCTGAATCAGGATTTCCTCTCTCACTGTCTCTCTCGATCCAAATTGCATGATTGCCTTTTTTTCTGATTTGAGAGTCTCTGAAGCGCGGAGGTGCCTTCACACACATACTTTGCTATTCATTTCTTATCCTTGTGACCTGCCGATTAGTTGTTTAGTTAGCCCGCCCGCGTTAAAGCCATCGATTCTGAGCTGCTGAACGTGACCTTTGTAAGCTAGCCGATTTACGACGCCTTTCTCGCTATTCAGCCCATCGAGCATATCTGTGAGTGTCTACCTCTTAACCTTGTTAAAATTTGCCAACTGAATGACTGTTATGTCTAGGATTTCAGCACTAGGTGGCATGATCCTGCGTGACTATTTTCTTGCTGGAATTGGGTGAAGATTTGTTGTTCAGAGGAGGTCCGACATATTCAATTATGGCCACATGCATTTGGATTGCGGCTTTTAGCAGGATTCTTTCTGAAGCAGATGGTAGCCACGAATCACTGAAATTTTCGATTGTGGTGTGTTTTCAGGCCTGCTATTGTTGAGCAAAAAAGAAAACAGAGATGGATATGGCATACCTGATATCGCTGTTTGGGTTTATCACGATCGCTAAAAGCTTCCTCCCCCCGGAGTTGAACGACCTCCTAATGAAGTGGTGGGTGAAGCTCATTAGGCCCGTGAATCCATACTGTATTTTCCACATTCCGGAGGTGGGATCGAATAAGCAGAACGATCTCTATCGAGTTGTCCAACTTCACATGAGAGCCGCGAAGCTGAGCAAAGAGGCCGATGAGCTCGTGCTCTCCCGTGATGAGAATGACAAGGAAATCACATTTAGCTTAGCAGGTGAGGCACTGATGTCATCTTCTTTGTTCTACGATCTTCCTTCTAAATGCTCAGGAACAGCTTCGGATGCATGGAATTGGCTCGAAAGTTTTCGCTTGCATTTGAAAAATCGCATTGTGTCCTTCTTACTAAACATGTGAACTCCAATTTGTCCATGCAGCTGACGAGGTTGTGAAAGAAACGTACGAGGGTGTAACAGTGTGGTGGTCTCACCGCACCGAGAAAAGTGGCAAGGATTCCGACGAGTTTGAGAAAAGTTCGTTCGAGCTCAAGATGCGTAAGAAAGACAAGGAATTTGTAATGACGAGGTACCTCGATTTCGTTACTAAAAATGCAGCAGAGTTCAGGCGTCAGCTCCGAGAGCTCCACCTTTACAGCAACATGGACTGTTTCTGGGAACCCCACAACTTCAAGCATCCTTCTAACTTTGACACCCTTGCAATGGAACCTGAACTCAAAGCAAAAGTTAAGGCGGATTTAGATGCTTTTTTGAAGGGAGAGCAGTTCTTTCACAAAGTTGGCCGAGCATGGAAGCGTGGTTACTTGCTATATGGACCTCCAGGAACTGGAAAGAGCAGCATGATCGCCGCAATTGCGAACTACATGAAGTACAATGTCTATGATCTGGAGCTCACACAGGTTGGTCTCTTACATTGGTATCACAGGTTGAATTGTAATCGGCTTTTATTTTATTTCATTTTTATTTTTTTGAAGTACTTGAGATTCTCCAAGCTAATTTGCACCTGGAGACCACGTTTGAAGTTCTTTGTTGCACCCTTCTAGCTGGCTTAATGATTTCTTTCATACACTTATCTAGGTGGCATTGGTCTGGTTCAGGTGTACGATAACAACGCTCTCAAGCAGCTCTTGGTGAACACCACAAGCAAGTCGATCATTGTCATCGAAGACATTGACTGCTCTCTTGACCTTGCCGGACAACGCAAAACGGCCAAGGAACCCAAGGTTGATAGCAACGACGATTCTAAAAGCTCCGTGACCCTGTCTGGCCTCCTCAACTTCACAGACGGATTGTGGTCATGCTGCGGAGATGAACGTATCATCATCTTCACCACTAATCACGTTGAAAAGCTGGACGCAGCATTGCTGCGACCCGGCCGCATGGACATGCACATTAACATGAGCTACTGTCAATTCGAGACTTTCAAGGCCTTGGTGAAAAACTACTTAGGAATAGATTCCCATCCTTTGTTTGATACTGTGAAAGCCTTGCTGGAGAGCCGGAAGCTAATCACTCCTGCACAAGTAGCAGAGCACTTATTTGAGAACAGAGCCGATCCGGACGCCGCGATGAAAGTTCTCATTCAATGGCTTGAGGACTGGAAACCAGAGGAGCCAGTAGAAGAAACCAAGGCTCCCGTTGAGGAAACCACCACTCAGGAGCAAGAGAGTGACTCTGCCCCCGCAACATCCACCCCTGCTACAACAGAGAACGGCGTCACGGATAACGGGATAACGGAGAACGGGGTTGCAGAGAACGGTGTCACAGACAATGGCGACGCGAATGCCGCATTGTCCGACGATTTGCGGAAGACGGTGAGCATCTTGGAAGAAAGAGTGGGCTCGATCGAGAACACCCTGAAGCAACAGCTGGATTCCAAGACAACCGTCATGAAGCCGGACATCCTGTCGCACATAGAGAACGGCGACTCGCAAGTCGAGTCGGATAGCGATGTGTAGAGGCAAAAATACACACACAGTTCGAGTAGGTGAAGGTGATCACTGTAAAGCAATCTGCGGGCTCTTAAGAGCACGAGGGTTGTGCAAATTGGTTAGGATCGAGTGCGCGGATGTGCGGCTCGTGAGCATGTAGGCGGATTGCATTGGATCAATTCCGCCCGGCAAGTACGACGATGACGAGAATCAAGTAGGTCAGTGTTGGTATTGAACATGATGCAGTGTGCTCCCGGAATCCCAACAATAACACCGCAACTGGTGTTGGGCAGCTCATGGGTCTGAGCAGCAGATTGTATCGCCGCTTTACAATTTCTCATGTATAGATCGATCGATGCCTCCGAGTTGGCGTCGAGGATCGCGGTGAATCCCAAACGGTATCACGGCGTCGCACCGACGATGCCCATTCCTTAATATCATTCCCACCCCATTCCTCCGAAGGGAGCGGATGAACGATTAAGTTTTCACTGAATGAATTCGACGACGAAAAAGGAAAAGATTCGTTGGGCTGGTCCACTTGTTGGATTCTGGACATGCTTGGAAATTCGGATTTGCATGGCGCTGTTGAATCTTCCCCTCATTTTGCATATTTTTTTGGCCTTTTTTATTGATTGGGTGCTTGCTAAAGTGTTGCCTCAACTGTGGCATTGTGTGGTTGTGCGATGTTGTTGCTTTACGAGATTGTTGTGCGTGAAATTCTTGCAAAGAAACTCTTGGTTTGTTAGACATGAGGTTTTGCCTTAGATAGTGCATGAAACATGCTTGGGTTGAGAGAGAGAAAAGGAACACAAATCATTTGGTATGTTGTAATTTCTAATTATTTAATTCTTTTAACTATCCGTCTTTGGAGATATTGTAAAATTTCACACAATATGTTTCAATCAGTTTCCTGCTTTATTGGGAGTTTTGGAATTGAATGAAAATAAGAATATGTGATTTGTTCCATGACTTTAAAGATATTAACAGAAAAAAAGAAAAAAAATGATTGTGTAAGCATTTTGAATCCAAAATAATTCAACAGTTTGATAACTGTTTGGATTGCATTCTACTTATGCTTAAATATCCTGTTGAAACATGGAGCTCCTATAGAATATTACGATTGTAAGACACATTTGATCCAAAGTTTAAAATCTCAAATACATTATATTTAAAGACATAGCAATGTAATCACTTGACAGTCTTGACATATGTCATTTAGTTCTTATGGTAATTTTTTAAATGTAAATTGCAATATTTAATGTGGTTAAATAAATATTCATATAATGTAAAACTAAAAAGTGCTATTTTTCGAATAAATGAAAATTTTATTATAATTTTTAAAGAAAAAAAATTAAATTAATTATGTTTGCAACTGTATATTTTATATGAGACATCATTGATTTTTAATAATGATAGATTAATTTTATTAAATAAAATTATTTATCAGTTCTACATATCATCTTGAAGTCCATACATTATGTTGTTTAACAACTCTTTACATTTATTTTTAATTTTCATAATATTTTTAATATATTGATTATTTAAACTAAGTTTGTAAAATTTAATAAATTATTTTTATGATATATATATATATATATATATATATATATATATATATAGCTAGAAAAAAAAGCTTATATATACAAATGCAATTGAACTTTAAGTGATTTTTCTTTTATATTTATCTTTTTAATGCAAATATCAAGTTCAAAACATACTAGTTTTAAAAATTGTTTTATTGATCAATAAAAAAAATTATGTCGTCAAATAATAAAACAATTAAAAATTAATATTATTTATTAATTTATTTTAAATATTTTATAAATACCTAAAATATTTATTATATATATTGTATTAATATTGTATGAATCTTAACAAAGAATCTTTATTAGAAAAAATGTTCAAAATATAGTTTTAAGTTATTTAGATAAAAAAAATATTAAGATTATAGAGTCTACTTTTTATTTAAGTATTTATTAAAATATAGAAGGATTTATAAGTTGCAAGAGTCTTATTAGAGAAAAAATTGTAAAAATAGGATCTTAGCAAGTCTTCAAAGCAATTATCTTAGCTAGTTCAATATTTTTTATGTATGAAAATAAGTGTTTAGTCGTTGAAACCAATTTCTACATTGACCTATCTACATGTATTACATATTTAAAAAAAAAACTATAAATATTAGTTAATAGGTAGAAAAACATGAGAAGGAATCTCCTATCTTTTTAATTATTTGTATAGAAAAAAAAAGTTTTTTAGTAGATTTTAACCAATTCTTTTATTATGTAAAAACCAAAAAAATAGAAAATAGTAGCCTTAGATTGATATTTGCATTATAAAAAGATGATAGAAGTTTTTAGAATATATTTAGAATTAAATTATAACTTTTTAGGAAATTTTAGAGTTATTTCTAAGACCTTGGTAAAAATGATTTTGATCACTTTGGAAGGCCATTACGAAGAATTGGAGCAAGATATGAAGGCCTTGCATAGTTTATAGGTTGAATGTATTTGAGCACTATGGTGAAATCAAAAATGCAAAAAAATAGTTTTATTAGTAAAAAATAGGAGAACTAATAGCTAGTAAAGTATTGGAAGAAACAGTGGTGCAGAAGTTCCATATAGATTGTAGCACCTTGGATGTAGGTAGTAAGATAAAACTAAGGTCTTTTGACATCTTTAGGACAATACATACAATACTTGCAAGCCTTAATATAATTCAAATCCTTGATTTCTTAAGCGAGTTTTTATTAAGGTAATTATATTTACTTAAATTTTCATTATTTACTTTCTATATTTAAAGTATTATAACATAATCATAGCAACTTTGATACTAATTTTTTTTTTTTACAATAGTGAAAAGATAAAAAAATTATTTGTTTGAATAGATACTTTATAATTTTATTTTTTATTGGATAGGAATCCATTGAACAAAATATAAATAGTTTTATAGTGAGATATTACTTGATTGTGATTCTTTCACTTGTTGTATATTCTTCTTCTTTATTTCTTGTTATTTGCTTCTTTGACTTCACTTTATTAATTACTAGCAACTATTAATTAAAACCATCTTATAATTTAGATTGAGGGATGAATTTTACTCTTACATATTATTACACATTTTGTGTAAAGATATTTATTTTAATAAAATTTTATATTAAATTTATGTATTTTAATATGTTTAATTAAAATATTTTTAAATATAAATATTATATTTTAAAATTAAATATAATAGATTTTTTTTATTATTATATATATATAGATAAATTTTAAATAATTATATTTAAAAATGGTACTTCATTTATTACTAATAACTTTCTTCTTTTAATTTCAAATATGATATAATATATTAATTACAAATTAATAGAAGTAAAAAATATTTTCAAAAATACTACTTAATTAGACATACTAATATGTATATAGAAAGTATTTTTTTATGTTCTAATAATTTTCGTTATAAATGTATTATAACAATATAGTGCTAAAATTTAATATAATATTAACAAAAATTACGTTGGCGTTAAATTTTAAAAGTTTATTCAGTTGTCTTATTCAACTAAATTGTATTTTGAAAACTGAATAAGAAATCATAAATTTTTTCCAAATCTAAATTAATAATTAAACCAAAAGATTAAAAATTGATAAAAAAATCATCAGATCTATTTTTTAAAAAAAACATTAAAGTAAAAAAATTTAGTATTTTGTATTATAAAATAGGTAGAGTACAATGATATATTTTATAATTATTTTATAATTTTATTTATTATTATAATATAAGGTTTTAAAAAATTAAATAATACTTAATCAGAAGGTTGTGTGATAGCATTTACCACTATTTTTCAAGGAATTGAATACTTTATATTAATTAGTATATTTTAGAATAAATCATTTTAAGTTTTTGTAGATGGTTTAGAAATTAAAATGTTTCTTTTTTCTTTTTTCTTGTATGAGATCCAAAAAGAAACACTATTAGCCAATTGTATAGAGATCTTTTTTCTTGACATATTTTTCAAAAAACTTCAATGCTTTAAAGCATAAAGTCTCAACTATTGTTTGTGTACTACAAATTTTCTAATATTTTACACCAAATTGTACATAGCAGCCACATAATCCATGCAAATAAACCACACAATAATAATAATAAATAATAAATTGCTAGTTCTTTTTTATACTACCATTGATCCTATTATAGTTTGTAAGCCAAAATTATTATTTGCAGCTACTATTGTACAATCCATATTCTAGCATAGGAAAATATTTGGTATAATCTACAACTGTTTTCTTAATACTATTAAATTCAGAATTAACATAGATTAGTTAAAACCGATTTATTTATTTTAAAATTTAAATTATTTTAATATATTAATCCAATAAAAATAATAAAAAATTATTTTAATAAATATTATGGCCAAAAATCCAAGAGATTAGATTTGATGGTGAATTATAATTCTTATTTTTACAAGATAATCTTTAGTTTGTATAAAGGATATTAATTTCAATCGGATTGTGATTTAATATTATTAAAATAATTGAGATATATTTTCTTAATATTAATTAGTTTATAAAAAATAAAAAAATAAAAAAGCCTAGCTTGGTGTCTAAAGTAGTTAATTTGGACAATTTGAATGAAACTTTTTCTTAATGCCAAAAAAATTTCTAACATGTTCAACAATAATTTGTCACAACATATTGGTAATATTCCTATTTTAAAATAATATTAATGAAAACACACACAATTCATCTTTTCTAAACAGTTTCTTATATATAAATTTAAATTTTTTATCTTGTAATCAAAGTCTCAGTTTTTTATATGTTTTAAAATTTTATTACAACAAAATGGTTTATATTTATTTACAATTTTACTAATTAATATCCAATTTTTTGATAAATTTATCTGTAATTTATACATCTTATTAAAAATATATTTTTTTTAAAAATATAGTAGTCTTTTTTAAAATTTGAATTGGCTAATATTAATTTCTACATTAAATCTAATTTAATATCACAATCTAGGATGATTAATAATATACTTCTAATATTTTGTATCTAAAAATAATATATTTGATTTTATTTTATATTAGTGGCCAATAAATTTTAATAATATATTTAAATAAACATTATATAAATATTTATTATTCATACAATTCTTTGAGATGATTGATTTAAAAAAAAAACAATAATAATTTTTTATTCTCTATTAATTAGATCTACATCACTTAAGAATTATTGTCTAAATTATCTACAACTTTATGTACATCTATAAGCTCATAAGTTTATAAACCTATAAACTTATAAATATTTTTAAGTTTATAAACCTTGTTAAACTTTGGTTTATAGTAAAATCATTTTGCCAATCCCAATTTGCACCACCTACATTATATTGCACAATATAGTGATTACTATATAATTAACTATAATATAAAGTAACAATGTTTTTGATCCAAAGAGGTCTAATATAATAAAGGTTGAATATATTTCTATTTAATACTATAATTTTATTCACTATTCTTCTATAAACGATTTTAAAAATTCATTATTCTTCATTTTTTTTTATAGATGGTTCTTATCTAGTCTTTTTTTCTCCCAATTTCGTTTAATTTAATTTGATATTATTCTTTCTTTATTTGTGCAAATTCTCTACGGTCAAGCATTTTTATTTTTACAATATTAATTTTTTTTTCTCATTTATCATTTCAATTAGTTATTAATAAATTTATAAAGTTAGAGACACTTTACACCTAGAAGCCTACTTTAAAAGACCATAGTTTAAAAGCCTTATTAAGGTCCCTTGCTTGGTGATGAAAAGCCATTGTTAAGAAGCCTTGTCCTTTGGATATAGTATAAAGTGAGATGAAGCCATGAAATTAATCAAATATATATTTTTTATTACAAGCTTAAATACAATAATTCACATCTTATTTCAAAAAATTATAATAACTATACAATAATTTATTTATTTTTATTTTTTTAATGGTTATATTAAATATTTTTTGATATAGCTTCTTGATTTTTTCTTAAAGTCATGTCTTTAAGATGCATCTAATTAAAATTCCAAGGAACAATGTTCTTCATGCCATGTAGAGAAAAATGCATTCTATCCATTTTTTTTTTTTTTTTTAGAGCCTTGGGTCTTATTTTTCTAAGTATGAAGCTAACTTGAAGAGGCTTTTTGATTTCAACCAATAAAAACGTTTTGAACTTGAGACCTCTCATCTTGTCTCTTAAATATAAAGTGTCCCTTACTAACTTTTATATCTAAAAAATTAACTTATACATGCACTAGTATAATTTAATTTATTTTTTATATAAGAATTATGAACAGCATAAGTAAATTACTATTTCGATAATAAAACATATTTAAAAATATTTAGGATTTTTTATTGCAATATTAAAAAATATCAACATTTATATCAATAAATTGAAAAATAAATAGATTTTAGAATGTAAAAAATAAAAGACATAATTGATTTGATAAAATAATCTTCCACATATTATTGCTATATATGTAAAAATATATAATAGAACTATAAACATTCACTTCAATGATTTTTTCAGTCCCACCTGTCCAAGTCCCAAGCATGAAATCCACTTTTTTTTTTCTTTAATATCAAAGAAAACTTCTTTTTGAAAAAGGCACAGCTATATCAAACTATGTATATAAGTATAAATCTTTACACATACATTCATACCTTCATTTTAAGTTTAATTATTTAAAAGTTGATTTGCATGCTCAATTTATTTTATTTTATTTCATTTTGTAATATAGCAATTTTATATAACCATGTACATATTTGTTTCAAGATACTAAGTTTATTCAATTAATAACACATATATGCATTATATAGTTTTTTTATACTGATAGTAAACCCTTTTTTTTGAATAAATCATGTATTATATTTTACATTGCACTTCTTTGTTTTCAAAAAAAATCACAAATGTTTAGCCACTAATTCAAAGCACTTGTGAGGATTAAAAATGGAGAATGAACTGGATCAAACAGAATGGAAGATATTTATGGTCAATCAAAGGCACATTTAACTTGATTTCCATGCCTGAAAGCACAGCTACCAGAACAAAAAATAAAATAAAATAAAAAAAGTCCTTCCCTTTTCCTCCTCCCTCAATATATAAATTATTCATTAAAAAGACAAAGATAAAAATATATATATAAAAAAAAAATGTTGCTGTTACAAAAACTTGAAAATATCTTGAGACATTATGAAACCACCTTTTGGGATCTGAAATATTTTCAACCTAGTATCTCTAGTATCTCACATGAGCCTAAAACTTTCTTTCAATCAAACTATATGCATAGGGCTAACTTTAGTACCATCAGTGGCAACATATTTTTCTCCCCCAAGCTGCCCAGCAGAGGTCTGCCCAGCAGCAAAAAAAAAAAAAAAGAAAGAAAAAGAAAAAAAGGCATTGGGAGGAGGCTGCAAAATGTGTGTGCCACTGCTTTGGGATTCATTGGAGGAATAATAAAGCAAAGATGTGGCTGCCTCATGGCAGGAAGCTCAGCCCACACATGGAAAAGATGTGCCCACTGCTCCTATTTCACACACAAGACTAAATTACCCCTCCTGTCATCACACAAAAGAACTAACCTTACAATACCCCAAAAATCAGTTCAAAATATGGGACTCATGCCTTGGTTGGGACACCCAGTGTTTGATCATTTTGAACATCACCTTGGTGCTAGAAAAGGTGGTAGTTTGGGGTGGTTTTTACCATCCGGGGCCTGCACTACAACATACCCACAAACAGAAAATAAAAAGGGGGGATTTTGGGTCCATTTGTAGTGTAAGTGTGGGGCACTGTGTAATGCAGTAAATTAATGGTACCTGGAGTGTGTTCCCGAGGGTAGTGTGAACAACCCAGTGGGAGTTAGCCACATTGCCTGAAGAAGGCAGCCAATGGGGAAGGGCAGCAGCTCCATTAGGACCAAAAGTGACCCACACGGGGTCCTGCAGAAAGTGTGTGAGTAGGGGACACGGTGGCTTATCCAGTTCGACCGGTTTGTCCGGTTACCCGGTCATTTTGGGGAAACAACACGGCCATTTGCCCCCCCCCCCCCGCAAGCACTACGTCTCACTTCGACGTCTCTCCCCTCGCCATTGCTTCTGATTCCTGATTCCCTCTCTCAATCTTCTACACTCCGCATCTGCGCTTCGCACTCACTTCCAAGGCCTCAGTGTTGATTTCTGCGCCGGGAGGCAATTTTGTACCACTTGGGTTTCTCATGGCACTGCTGTCATTGTTGCATTGAGAGCACTGATTGAATCCATCGCCAGGTTTGTTGTTGATGTGGGTTCTCCTTCATTCAAGGCCTTTGTGGTTGAGTGATGTGTGGGGCTTCTTCGGTGCTTGAGGGCTGGTTAGAGCTTGGAGATTGCTCTACCCTCGTTCAATTGTTTTTCTTACGGGAGTGAAACCTGGTTTGACCTAGCCTGTTCGAGGATTGGCGATCTGTGTTAGTTTGGTTTTTGTGTGCTGGATTGCACAGCTGAGGTTGGCGGAGGAATTTCTACCCTTTCCCGTATGTGTGTGTGTGTGTGTGTGTGTGTGTGGATTGTGAGCTCTTGTAATGGTGCATTTTTTTCTTCTTTTTCCTTTTACCATTTTGTTGTGGTTGTCAGCAGTCTGCAAGTTGGAAGATGTGCCCGCAGGTGAGCTGGTCGAGTCATTTTTAGAGAGCGGATTGTCAACAGGAATGGGAATCTGGGAAACGTAGTGTGGCCGCGTTTGGGGTTCACCATGTGTTTTGTGGCGGAGTGTAAGGGACTGTTTCGGAGCTTGTTTAGAATTTCGCTGCTGCTTTTTTTGGCTTCCTTCAATTGGCAGGTCGATGTTCTGAGAGGGATGGGATTAGGGTGAAGTGTCTCCGCAAGGGTGGTTGTATTCTTGGCTCAAGGCTTCGGTAGAGGCTGACTGGGAGGGATGCATGCAAGGGCAATGCCTCCTCTGAGGAATTACGAGAAAGTAGCGCTGACCTTGGGGGATTTTTCTATTCTTTGAATTTCTCTTTCCCTCTTCCCATGAGCGTAGTTTAGCAGTCATGCATACGTATTGTGTCATGTAGTGGAAGTATTGTCTTGGCCACTTCAGACACATGTGGTTGATTTGATCCTGATTTGTGGAGAAATTAGAGCAACATGGCAGTGCAAAGTAATCGTGGGTTTTTATAACTACAATCATTTGCAATTGGACTATACACCGTGCCGAATGTCTTGTTATACTCTTAATGAAATGAATTGGTGGATATCTCTTTCCACAAGACTGCAATCACTGCCACTGCTGTTATTTTCAGGGATTGTAAAACTTATTGTTCGTCATGTTCCCTGCCTCTACGACCGATTTTGAACGTGAGGTTCAGCTTAGTGCATTACTTTGAGCTCACAGTAGAAGCATATTTATTTATACCCCAGTTTCTCTTGTTGTATGCCAGGTACAAAATTGGCTACCTGTTCTTCTCCGATCTTTGTCCCGACACGTGAACGCACGATTCATGATCTGAGTGAATGGAAAAATAAATATGTAGACTCGGTATTTATATGCATCACCTGCTGTCCATGGGTGGGCTCGTCAAGCAAAAATTTCTATCCTAGACATCACATAAGTAAGACAGCGTTCTATGGACACGGCACCTCCTGGGCTGCTGTCATGGCAGCCCGGCACACTTAGTCCTCAATTAAATTGTCAGAAATTCCGCAAGTCCTCTTCAAGGAAACACCAGTGGGCAAGGCAATCGAAAGCAAACAACGTAGGAGTGACAGGTCGCAGGGCGCATCTTGCGAAGTGGTGTAGCCAGAGTGAAAGAAGTCTACGGGACAGAGTGAGCGTAGTACCGAAACGAGGGACCACTGATTCCTTGGCCTCGAATTCCTCACATTCGCTGAGTGGATGTAATGGGAGTGGATTGTCAGAAGTTGTGCGCAGGAAGGTGCATCCTTGCCGCCATGTGTGCAATGCAGCTGACAATGGCGCTCTCTACTCTTCTGCAGATCTGAGTGCTAATGGATCCTATGATTCCAAAGGTGTGTCATTGCTATATTTCAGGCGATATCAAATGGATTCACAAATATTGAGCGTGTCCAATACTGCCTGGTCGCTGATGCAATGCACTCTTCATTTCATATGCAGGCCACGAAGGGAATGGGTCCGTAGTGCATGCAGAGGAACAGAGTTTTCTATTGCGCTTGTCCTTGTTTTGGAAGGCGATCAGATCATTTTTTCCAAATGGAAGCTGGTGGAGGGTCATTGAGAGACAGCATCAGAGGGCACATAACATAACCTTCACGGGCGCCATGCAGCGGCTATGGGTTCTTATCTCTCCTGATAAGCTTATCATTGGTTTGGCCTTCGCTGCTCTTGTTATTGCAGCCGTAAGTTTCTCACTCCCTGTTGCGGAAAAAACGTTGGTATGGTGATCTTATGTTGACATACCTTTGTGATCGTTTCGACTGAGGACCAGATTGCACGTGTTGCGATTTAAAATCGAGGTTGTTAAATGAGAGCTCTAACGTTGCTCGCCCACTGTGTATCTGTCTAAACACAGTTATCTGAGATTACAATACCTCATTTCGTGGCAGCCATGATCTTCTCGGCACAAAAGGGAATGACAAGTGACTTTTATGGCAATGCAAAACTGCTGGTCTTAATGAGCTGTACATATGGTCTTTTCAGGTTGGTTTTTCCATAGATACTATATATATATTCATACATACATATTTGTGTGTGTGGGTGAGAGAGAGAGAGAAGGTCTGATTTGCTGTTTGGGAACAAGCTGAACTTCTCTATGTCAATGTCAGTCTGGAGCACTATTGCTCACTTTATGTTGTACTTTTGAGACATAGCAATCATTCTTTCGGGATTTTCCTTGAAGTGACTCCGTTTTAGTCGATCTGCTCTGAAGAGAACTTTTGAGTTTGAACTATTATTAATTGTGCTGTAATTGACTTTTTGGTGTGATGCAGTGGAATAAGAGGGGGCTGCTTTGGTATTGCGAATCAAATTTTGGTATAGAATTTTCTACTCTTTCGTGAAAGTCCTCATGTTCTTCCTTTACCTCATACCTTGTAGTCTTATATTGTCATATCGTGTTACTGGCTGACATGATTCATCTGATGGCAGGTTAAGCGGATGCGGGAATTGCTTTTTTCTACTCTTTTGTCTCAGGTCTTGATACTTTGCATCAACTTTTGTCTGAAATGTTGGTCGATGAGGAAGATGAGGCATTTCACAACAAGTTCTTGATCGTGATGAAGCCTATTTACGAATTTTTACTGAGATAGAACCAAGTTGAGAGCAGTAATACTGAGGACTGAAACTATTATATATTTGTATTTTTGAAAAAGTGCGCTAGATGTAATATTCAGGGCAAGATTAGACAAGTTACGTGGTTACCTCAAGCGTGCTTTTTATTTTATTTTATTTTATTTATTTTTATATTACAGGATATCGCTTTTTTTGACGCGGAGTCTGTTGGGGCACTTACCAGCCGATTAGGATCAGATTGTCAGCAAGTGTCACGGATTATTGGCAATGATTTGAATATCATGTTTCGTAACGGGCTTCAGGTGAGAACATATAAACCTTCTGTGCTTGTTCAATTCCCCCATTCACCATTTATTAAATACAGATTGAATCGGGATTTTTCCTCGAATTGTAGGCTAATCGATATTGATCAGAAGGCAGCGTTTCTTGTCAAAAATGTTGTTTCCTAGGATAATGTAACCTTAACCGGAATCACAAAATTCATTGCTGAAACTTTTGAGTTCTTCATTTGCAGGGTTTAGGGGCGTTCATGTATCTTGTAACTCTCTCATGGCAGCTTGCATTGACTACTCTTGGTGTTTGTAGCCTCATGTGGTTCTTAACCACAATTTATGGCCGGTCTGTGTCTTTGCTCTTGAAATCCTCATGTTTTGTTTATTGTGAATTTGTCTCTCATGTTTTAGCTTGTAGAACAGAACAGACTTCGCATTGATGTGAACTTCTTTTTGTCTCTCAAAAGATAATGGATCAAGATTTTTTATTCTTTATTTTTTTTGTTTGTTTGTTTTGTTTTGTTTTTGTTTTTGTTTTTCTTTCAGTAATAGAAGATATTACATGTTGAGTCTTCTCGACCATTCCCTTCAAACGGAACCTTAGATCATTTATATAAGCGTTAGCATTGAATGGAGAAGAGCGTAGTACTGTAGTTCATGAGAATTGCAGTGGTAGTGCTTCTTTCTCATGGTTGACTTTTGATCTGTGTACTAGGTATCAGAAACGAACTTCAAGGTTTGCTCAAGACTTAATTGCATCAGCCAATGAAGTGGCAGAAGAGGCATTTTCACTTTTAAGAGTGGTTCGCACTTTCGGTACTGAACAGCAAGAAGTTGGAAGGTCCACCTCCGTCTTTCCTAATCTCGCATATAATTGCGCTTTAGGATTTCTGTAGGATTCTGATGAACTGTGGAGCTAAACTTCGTGATGTGGTGTAGAGCAGGTACAGCAAGTGGTTACAGAAGCTCATGGAGATTAACCTTCGCCAGAACATTGCCTACGCGTTTAGCACTTTGAGCTCTTGCACACTTTACCATGGTACTCAGGTTGGCTCCATTTGCTGTCCGAGCAGAGTCAGCAATTTTCTATGTGTGAATTTCTTCATTGTTTATCCCCATGGGTGTAGATTTCATTGTGTTCAGTTCTGAGTTTTAGGTCTAACTTGAGACTTTTAATCGATATTCCTCTGATATTATTGAACGTGTTGGCTGTCAGTAACACTGCTTGAATTTTACTCAAACAAAATTATGCTTTCAACGGCTGATTTGTTTTGATGAGTGCATCAGTAGGGTTGACTTCTTGTGTTGCGGCCACAGATAGAAGTTGGTCAACGTAAATAACATGGTGATCTTGTAAACTTGTTCTTTTCTGTAACAGAGATAAGCGAGAGTGATTTTGGTACACTGTTACTCTTTTGTGTAGGTGGTTGCACTGATAATTGGAGGCGGCTTCGTGATGTCCGGTCAAATTAGTGCTGAGAAACTTACAAAATTTATTCTTTACTCTGAATGGGTTGTACACTCCACCTGGTGGGTGGGCGACCATTGGGCTTCTTTGATGCAAGCCATAGGTGCCAGTGAGAAGGTTTTCCAGCTCCTTGACCTTCCACCAAGCCTCCAGCTGACTGCTCCAGGTACTTTTAAAATGCTCGGTTACTAGTGGCTTATATCTTCACAGTCGAAGTGAGGAGTTTTTTCTTCATAGTGATCCGAGTGGGACGAACTGGAAATAAATCTGACAAGTCTGGTTTTTGTGCCTCAGGTATCACTCTTCCAAATGTTCAAGGATGCGTACAATTTGTCGACATCTCGTTCAGTTACCCTACTCGACCTAAGGTTCCCGTGCTTCAAAATGTGAACCTAACCATCAACAGTGGTGAACTTGTAGCTGTGGTGAGCATCAAATCGAGGGAACGTTACATTGTTAAACCTCTGCTTGAAAAGAGATGTAACGAGAATTTACGAATTATGAGTTCGTTTAAAGGTGTTCTTGGAAAGGATGGGTCCGTTGGTTCATCTTCAGTTGATAATTGAGAGACACTCTTTAAAAATGCTTCGTTTCGCATGTTACAGGTCGGCCTGAGTGGCAGTGGGAAAAGCACTCTTGTGAGTTTACTTCTACGTCTCTATGAACCTTCGAGTGGACAGGTAAACCTTCATTACTTCCAGCGTTTTGTGATGCGACTATTTTGTTTACATCAACTTGTAATGTAATGGATGCAGTGGCTTGTTTGTTAAGTACATTTGTAGGTGATTGTTCGAGTCTAAAACTAACAGGTCACTAGTGCGTTCAATGACAGTCAATCAAGGCACATACGCAAGAAGTCACAGCTTTCTATTTGGTGCATATATAAGTTGGCTATCGTGGGACTGTATTTTCTGGCATTATTTATGGTGACTGGTAAGAAAAATCATGTGCAGGTCGTGGTAGATGGGGTTCCCCTGCAAGACCTCGATATACGATGGTTCAGGAAGCAACTTGGGGTTGTGAGCCAGGTAATATCGTTATAGAACAATTCATGCATGTGAGTTTTGCTTTAATTTTGGAACTTATTGCTGCACATATTAGTCGCTATCAGTTCCAAATCATTTCTTTGTGCTCAATCAGCATGACCTATGAGGTTTATTGACTATTCTGATATTACATATTTCACATTTTCCAACAGGAGCCTCGACTGTTCAGCATGGATATAGCATCCAACATTGCATATGGCTGCGACGGCGATGTTGACCAGATGGAGATTGAGCGGGCTGCTAAGCTGGCAAATGCTCATGATTTCATCATCTCCCTTCCAGATGGGTACAAAACGATGGTTGATAACACTCGGTTGAGTGGGGGTCAGAAGCAACGAATTGCTATTGCCAGAGCCCTCCTAAGGGATCCTGCTATTTTGGTTCTTGATGAGGCGACAAGTGCTCTTGATGCCGAGAGTGAACATCTTGTGCAGGTTATTGACTTCCATACTTCCTCTCTCTGCTTTCATTTAATATAAATCTGGTTTCTTAGTTGTGCAAAGACACGGTTTTTGTGATTCATGTTTCTGATCCTAGAGAAATTCTAGACACATAAGTTCATAGCGTTATACGATTCTTTCCAAAATGTTTTACTCTGCCTCTCACATCTGCTCAAACTTGTTAATTCTCAATACCAAATGCAGAAAGCATTAGATCGCGCTATGCGAGGAGATGGAGGCAGAAATAAGCGCACTGTTTTAGTAATTGCTCACAGGTAAATTAATCTAAATGTCCCTAAACACCCTGCATCAATTCCAGGTGTTCTTCTGGGCCTTGGAAAACTTTAATACTACATCTAAAGGTTTTATTTTATTTTATTTTATATATATATATATATATATTTTTTTTTTGGGGGGGGGGGACACTGAACATTTGGTAATTAAATGGAAACGGTGGTCTGCTGTTTCGACAGGCTATCAACAATACGTGCTGCAGATCGCATCGTGGTTATGACAAATGGCCAGGTTTCTGAGGTATGTCCTATAGCAAGTGTAGAAGTGCATTTGTTTCTGGGCGTATCTCTGTTTATTTGCATGCTCCATTATGCTACACCTGCTGAGAAAGCTGAAGTAACGACGATATTGTGTCATTCTAAAAGTAATTTGCTTGTTGGATGTGATTTTCAGACGGGCAGTCACGAGGAGTTGCTTAAATTAGATGGCGATTACGCTCGGTTAACCAAACGACAACTTAGTACATTGTCTCAGTAGAGAAAGGCTTTGCTCTGACAAGTGTTGATTTCTTAAGCGGCACTTGTTCATAACTATTCATCTCTACAGCTGTTCTGAATCCATGTGAAAACGATAGGTGTGGACATGAAGGCGTCCATGCACTTGTGGAGTTTTCCAAAAGATGAAAATACAAATAAATAAATAAATAAATAAATAAATAAAAGTAAAACAGTTACCTGATGTAAAGCATAATGTTTGCCAATTGTCTTCACATGGAACTTCGCATTGAATCAAACTGTTTTTACTAGAAATATTTTAAGATTCCTTGAAATGTGTAACGCCACACAAGGTCGTCTCGCTTTACGAAGATGCCCACGGGATTCATGGAGGAGTGCTCTTAGGCGTAGTTTGGTGCCTACGATGCAGGTTTGAATGATACAATGCGTGATCAGGTGTATAACTAGGGGGTGTAGAATCTCCGCCACCCTTTTCTCTGCTTGGGGGTCCTGCATCAATTACACGGCGTACGATTGAGCTTGTCCAGGTGTAGCTGGTGTTACCATTTCAGTTCTCTGCTAGAATGGTTGAGGAAGTGCAACGTTAAATATTTCGGATTTGATAGGACCTTGTAGATCACAACAATGTTGAGGAAGTTCTTTTGCCACTTTCCTAGAAAAATAATAAACTTCACGGACAACTTAGATTCGACAAATCACATGGGTCACATAAGTTAGTTGTCTTGCGGTCTTTGGCTTTTCAAGCAATGGGAGTGGTGATGGCACGGCGATAGCCGTAGACCTGGCAGTTCTATGGTCTGTGCAGCAGAAGCAGCAACATTGCCCATGTTTCGCCATGCATTTTATGCTAGATCTAGAATGCATCTAGAATCTGTGCAGTTATGGAAAATATGTAAAAATTTAGTTAATTTTGTTCAAGGAACTATTCCTGAAGTTTAATCACAAGAAAGTAAAAATTGTGCTAAGTCATTCACTCATGTGTTTTATATAAAGGTGGTTGTTGATCAGAAATCAATGCTTACTTGAAAATCAACAAAGTGCAAGTCACAAAGTCACTAAGAGCTCAAATTTCAAATACAAGTACGATTGGAGTCATTGCAAGGGAGACACCATAATTAGTAAACACCAAGAAAGATAGTGAGAAATAGCCTTATCATTACATACTTTACTAAAGGACCTCCCTCCAACATCAACTATTTCAATGCATTGTGCATATGACTTACCTATGAAGGATTATTAGGACAGCCAATCAAAAGGCTAATTTCTTATCATGTTGATTTATACCCCTTGTTGTGTTTTTATAAAATAGATGGAGCTTACTCTTGGGCAATTTTTAAATTTTGAATATTTTAGTATGTTTTGTGGTTTTTTGTAACTTTTAAAGATACGATAGAGTGAGATAAAGGGAAGGAGCCTTGATCCTAATTACCTTCAATTGATTTAAATATTTATTTAACTAAAACTAAACCAAATGTTAAGAAGACAAGAATAAGGAAAAAAAAGAAAAAAGAAAAAACTTAAAAAACTAAAAAAGTACAAAATTTTCCTAGAAGTCAATAAAAGAGACAAAGTTTATAATTCATAGAGGGCATTTTTTATCCCTTAACTAAGTGCAGACGAGCTCTAGCAATGTGCTGTATGATTTGCATATTAGCTTTTGGCAATGAAGATGACCACTTCAATAAGCATGATAGCAATTCTTGTTTTTTATGCATACATTGTGATATTAAATATCTAATGTTCTACTAAAACTTTTTTTTTTTTTTTTTTTTTTTTTTTTGCAATCAATCAAAGTATATTTGTCGTAAACAAGAAAACAAAAATTCTAAATGAGAGCAAAGAAGAAGAAATAAACTTGTCTATTTATTATTTTTTTATCATTTGTCACTCATTTTTAATTGACCAATGTAGTAAATTTTAATTATGAAAGATGATTTCAAAGTAAGAGAATATTGATTGAAAATAGAAAAAAATGTTTCTTTAAGATAAAAAGAAATAAAGAAAAATATATTTACCAGTAATTGCTTTAAAAAAAATCAGAACAAAAAATAGTTAAAGTTCATGAGAATTATAAACATGTTTTAAGAAAAAAATTCTAAGTATTATAATTCACAATAATTAATATAGAACTTATATAAAGTTCTTTGTTGATTGTTTGAATTAACCAACTTTATATTAATTAAAAAAAATTACAAGTTTATTTGTTTTGATTTGTATTGTTTTGTATTTTATATTATATTATATTATTTTCTTATTATTGTTACACACAAAAATATACATATATATTAAATTGCATTTTTTATTTCCTTAAATCTAAAAATAACTGCAGAGTTAGCCATTTTTTAGGTACTTAAAAAAAATATTTTTATAAAATTAAAAAAGAACATTAGTGTTTTTTAAGAGGTTTTTGTAGAATATAATTGAAGTCTAAAACAATCCAATCAATTATAAAAGATTCATAATAAAAAAATAAAAAAACTAAGCTTGTTTGTCTGTTCTTCTTACAGTTCATCATATACATATATAAGCGAAAAATTACCTCTAATTTTTAGAAATTAAACTATAAAAATAGAATAAGGAAAATAATCAATATACTTAAAATTGCAGGTTTTTTTTTCAAAAGTCTGTAATATTTGAATCTTAAATAACATAATGAATAATAAAAACTTAAATCTTTGTAAGTTTTAGACATGTATTATTTTAATACTTATATGTAATTATTAAATGTTTATTTTTATTTTTTTAGTTCCTATGAATTTAATTTGAACATTTAATTAATTTTTTCTTGTATGCAATCTATTATTTTTTTGTAGTTAATTTTTATTTATTAATAACCATGTAATGACAATCAATCTTTTTTAGCCATAATATTGAAATGTTCATTGTAAAATCTTTATCATTGAAATATACATATATATATATATATATATATATATATATATATTCACAAATAAATACAGTGGCTTTGAAATTCTATATATCAAAATACTTTGAAATTGTAAAGAACAATACATTCCAATTAAATTTTCCAATTGATATGATTTGAACGTCCATGGTCTTATATTATAACACATACATCTCAACACTCTTATTTATTTATTGATAAATATAAATAAAATACAATTTCATTTCTGTTAAAAATGACATTCAACATTAACCACCTCCAATAAATGCGACGTTCCAACTTCGCAGTATCATGCCCCAATCAAACACAATCTCTACACAGACACCCATTAAAGTGGATCAAGACAAAAGAGAGGAGAGACTAATTCTGCCACCTGGACTTCCAGCTCAGCACAGCCATGATGACGTGTCGTATCAAGTCTAAGCCGTCTTTACAAAATATACCAAAATCGGGGGGTCAGGCTGCGGGGGCGACCTGGTAGTTCACCGGGCCGGGGGACCGCGGGCACCCATGACCGTGGGACCATGGAGAGTGTTGTTTTTTTTGTGTGTGTTTGGCGTTGGGTATACTCCACCATCGCCATCGCCATCGCCCTCCTCGCAACCTCCAGTTTCTGGTGCCTCCCCCCGACTCTCCTCCGTCTTCGCACGAGCCTCCTCGTTTCGCTCACAGCTCATCGTCCCGTGAATTTTGTTTTCTGGGTCTCGATTCGTTTCGACGCGTGGTTCAAGTAGTTGCGCAAACATCCCGTTTTTTCTCTTTCGTTCGGGGAGGGGGGGCTTGTTTTGTTTCCTCGGAGGATCGTCCGGGTAGCGAGGTGAGCATGCTTCTGCGACGCTTTTTGAGTTTGTAACGAGTTCATCGGGCTCATAGCTATCAGCGATTTCGTGTGTTTGGGTGATCGCGCATGCTGACTCGTTGGGGAGTGCTTTCGGGACCTTTTTTCGGGACCTTGAGAACTGTTGTACTGAAGGTTTCGGGGTTTCGAGCTTTCCTGAGAGGTCTTACGATATGGAAGTGGGTGTGATGACTTGGAGATTTCTCCGGTTGAGGGTATTTTAGGTTTTTTTTGGTGGACTTGTTTCTGTCGTGGAATTTTGCTCGGAGAGCTGGTGGAGTGCTCCTGTCGTCGGCAGTTTCGATGCTTTACAGAGGTTTAGACAGATACGTCGGAGTACAGTTGCAGTGGTTTTCACACTAGTTTCTTGTATTTATCCAACTTCTCTTTGTCGATTTCTGAGTTGATATTTTCCATGAAATATTTTATTTATTTATTTATTTATACTCCCGCTGCCGAACTCTCTTTCCTGTCTGAGGGCGAAATTTTCTTGTTTGTAGCTGGTTTTTCTGATGGCGACGACGCATCTCGTGAACTGGAATGTCCGAACGGTTTCCTCGCATTCTTCTCTGAAGCTTACGCCAGAACTTTTTGCTCCTTTGAGTAGAATTGGGGTGTCATGCCCAATGCGAGAAGGCAGTAAACACGAATTTGTTGTGAAGGCACAGGGGCGAAAGAAAGGAGGAAATTCGGGAGACAAGTCCCCGAGGTGCACTTAACCTATCTCAAGTAATTCATTTGTCTCTTCAACCACCTTGTGTTATGAAGTAAGATGGGTCAAAATCTAATTTCACTTTGACCCTCGATCCCCTCCTTGTGTGTTGCAGATATGATCCCATGTTTGCAAGGGATGGGAATACAATAGAGTGCCCGGTTCCATGGGAGCAGCAACCCGTGAATGAGTACCAAATGCTGAATGAGACAGGGTTGTTTGCATGGGCAACCGACGATCTCCTGTCCTTTGGGATCAGAATGACAGCCGTTACAGTCGGTATCTCTGCTTTTGTTGGCTACCCAATCGCTGCCCTGAGCATTGACGCGAAGCAAGAATTCTTGAAGTGTTGTATGGGAGCTTCTTGTGGCGGAATGCTGGCCGCCACAGTTGTGACGCTCCGCCTTTACCTGGGTTGGGCCTACATTGGCAACCGACTATTCAGCGCAACAGTAGAATGTGATATCTCTCTCCTTCGTTCCATGCTTTCCTCTCACAAATTTCATTTTATTGATTTGATGTGTCAATTTCATTTCACTGCTGTGGGATTTTGGATCGAATTTATTCTGATTTTCTCGTCTTTTAATGAGTCATTTTGAAATTCATCAAACAAATTGAACTCATGAATAGGTGATGGACTGGTCTAATATGTTGTTGTTGCCTGTGTCCTGCAGATGAGGAGACTGGATGGTATGATGGTCAGGTTAGTACTTACGTATATTTTGAAGTCCGTAGATTCTTCTCGAGTTCTCTGACGTTTCTATGGATGCAGCAGGTTTGCGTGAAGAAGATACGTTAGGTTCGGTGCTGATGTTTCTGTTGCCACTTATTTGCATGTAGGTATGGGTGAAACCCCCAGAAGTGTTGGCTCGGGATCGCTTACTGGGCTCTTTTAAGGTTGGTACTGATCAGGATGAATCACCAATCCCAACATGTTTTTATCCATAAAATGTGTTCCTGCTTCCACTATAGCAGTCACAAACTGAAACTTTGCTTTGGGACGAAGGGTCAGAGATCACTGTACATGGATCATGCCTGAATCACACTGCATTACCAGTTGTTTTGTTTTTTGCTTCGTTTTCAAGGTTCATGGGAAATTGTTGCAGATGTTTGGACTGGTAAACTAGAGAATCCGTGATGCATGTTAACCATAGATGTGCACTTTTATGCAGGTCAAGCCTGCCTTACGTCGAATGAAAGTCACCTTGGTGGGACTTGCCATCTCCTTGGTCACTATTGTTGGTGCCATGTACATGCTTCATGGGCCTCCGCCACCCATTGACCTTGCAGAAGATACCGCCGAGACCTTTGGTGGAACCTCCAGACTGTCTTATAGCGATGCAGCAGCCCGTCGTTATGAACCCGAAGCATTTGCTAGAGACGACCACCTTTCTCACGCCAGTGCCGCTGCTCCCACACCCGCTTTGTTTGACTACTGTCGCTGAAGCTGGTATTCCACTTTTCCTATTCGACGAAAATTCGGCTGATCTCGTTCCTCTTCCGAGGAGGTGGATCATGGATCAATTCTCCACGTCTTTGACAGACTTCACCCATTATTGGAAACTATGATTGATGGCCGGTCAATGATTTTTGATGGGCCACAAATATTGCTGTCTTAAAGCTTCTTCGTGCTAGTTAGCTTTTGGTGGTTCATTTTTCTTTCCTCCGCAAGTTTCACTTCGATCATTTGTTCAAGTGATTCAAATGTAAAGTAGCTAAAGATGCAATAGGACTTGTAGAATCGTGTTTAATATATGATTAACGTGTTGTATATATATATATATATATATATATCTATATTTGTAGATGACCACATGTATATTTATCATTACTTTGTAAAGCTGAAAGTAAAAGCTTAATTTGAGAGCTTTATCTGTGTTGTTGTTAGGTATTGATTACTCTCATGTTCCTACTGGTTCGACTGTGTTTTTAGTGAACTAGCTAGAAAATCAAAATTAGGGAATCAGTGGGTATCAGGTTGTACCGTTGTATGTATGGCGGAACATGCATCAACTTGTTTTTATTTTGGGACTACTGACCTTGTGATTACATTTGAGGAGTTGTTTTTGCAGTCTATTATCATGGAAATTAGATAAGGGAGGAACGAGGTTGGCAGTCGAGGTTGCCATGAGGAATTGTGAATTTTTGTGTGGATGAGCCTGAGCTCCGCTTCATGCGAACATATTTCACTCTGGGGTCTGGCTCCTCATGCTACCATGTACCCCCGATGACAAGCACATTGCCGTGAATGTCAGTACCCCAGCGTATCTGTCACGAGTAACAAATCAAGTAGAACCACATGTCAACCCTCGTTCATTCATCTAACAAGCAATCCAGCAAAGATCATATCAAAAGTGTAAAGAATGCGTAGTCAAACGAACCAACGGAGCGACTGTTGCATGGAATAGCCAGTAGAGAACCGAGGATGTAGACAGAAATGTGCAGTACCATAACATCTGCAGGCTTCAGACCTGGCATATCAGCTACAAATACATGAGGGTCTGGAAGTTCCTCTACTTACACAGCAGTGCCCCCCCACAGACGTAGTGTCCCGCACATACTTCTGCTATTGCGGATTCAGGGACTTCTCAAGCTCGTCAGGGAAATCCATCGCCACTTGATTTGTGTTTTACTAGCTTCAAACGGGTCTCACTGAACTCTGATTAGTCTTGAACATCACTAGAGATTGAGACAAGTTAGGGGACGACGAGTAATGGATCGAAATAAAACTTAGAGATATCAGGAGACGGTGGTCGAATCGGGGAATTTTAAATCAGGAACATGGTTGCATTTAAATCTCCGCAGAGAAATCCAGTCATTTCTCGATCACTTCATTCTTTAGTTCCCATGGCGAGGAATAGTTAAAAATAGTTGGTAGCTCTGAGAGAATGTATCTAGAATGTAGTTATACATATGCTTTCTTTTGTTATTCCTTACGGCTTTACACTTGTGAGCTGGTGTGTCAATTGGAGCTTGCCTACGAATGACATTTGTAAATGAAGACATTTTTTCAATTCTTACAATTTATTTTCGAATGGAAAGATGGTAAAAATGAACCCACATGTGAAGACAGTAGTGTGATTTATTATTCAAGTCCCTCAAATAGTTTCGTGAAAATATGACGAAATGAGATTGATATGGGTTGCTAACACAAAAAACGTATCGATTTTGTGATGTTCAAGACTTTAGTGATGAAACAAAATACAAGTACCATCAAAAACACCCCATGTTGAAATAAACTGCTTCTGATCAAATCAAAGCAACACAAAATAAGAATCTCTGTACGAATCTTTCATGCCCAGTCCTGCTTACAGAATTTTATTTACTTATTATTTATTGTTAAATATGGAATACAGAAACCTTAATATTATGACAGATTATACAGTTGAGAAACATGAAACTTCATCTATATATATACACACATGTGGGTGTGTGTAAATGTGTAAGAAATGTTTCAGTTCGCTTTTTTAAAAACACAAATAAACAATAGTAATCAAGAAACAAACTTTGATCTCAATAGCTTTGTAAAAATGCACATATCTAATTCCATATTGAATTTATATGTCTAATATCTAACCTGACAATCGAAAATCAAGGATAAAAGACTAAGATTGTTTTCATTAAAAAAAAAATCAATTAATTTAAAATATATAATATATATTTTTGGTATCTTATATGATTTTTTCTATAGATTACAATCATACTATACTTAAATGCAATATATGATTGTATATTCATACAAAATTGCATATACCCATGATCTGTACATACATATAGAGATTCACAAAGATAAAAATTAATAAAATCAAGTTATAGGTCATGTTTTAATAATTCCAAATAAAAGACATAAGATACCTCACAATTTTTTTTTTAATATAATACTAATACATAATTAATGTTTTATAAGCTCCAAGTAATATTTTTAAAAAATAATTTCTAGAAAATAAAAATAACATGAAAATAGAAAAATTGATTTGATATATATATGTTTACGATTTTTTTCTAATTTAATAAAATTAAATAATTTAAAAAAATCATGTTATAATTCTTTAAAAATTATATGATTTATGTATTTTAATAATATACTTGAAACCATATATTTAGAAAAACGACTATAATATAGACTTGAGACTTAAAATACAAAAATAAGATATTTCCATTAGCATGTTTTTATTATAGTTTATTTACTTATTTTTTAAATAAAAAATATTATTTTTATATTAAGAATATATATTAAGATTTATAATAATATATATATATACACATACATACATACATACATATTTTGAATATATTAATATATTCAAAATATATTTTATCTTAAAAAATAATATTATACATCTTTCAAAAGATATAATTTAGTCTGAGAAGAAGTGGATTTTTTTCTTCATAAGAAAGAATATTATATATATATATATATATATATATATATATATATATATATATGAATAGATAAAAAATAATTCATATTATTTTTAAATACATTAATTTTTTTTAAAAGTAGATCATATCTATATATATATATATTAATATTTTTGATAAATAATTTAATTTTTAAATTTAAAAAAAAACTAATTATATTATTGTGGCTCTATAAAACTTGTATACACAAATGAAAAAATTACACAATATTAATTTTTTTATTTATTAACTACAAAGTTTTTAGCAAGTTTTGAATAAATTAAAAATGATGATAGAATTATAATTAATGAAAAAAAAATAAACATTAGACATTGTCAGCACCTTAAATGACATCAACAATCTTCAACAAAAGTTACAATAGGTAAGGATGATGATATAAGAAGAAGATAGGATAAAATTGCAATTAATTGTAGTACCATTGTGAATTTAGAATAGAAGTGGTGATTAGAAAATGTTTTAGGTATTAAAAAATTAATGTAGGAACATATGTCTCTTTCTCTTTTTTAAAAAAAAAATTAGAAGTTCAATATTAAATAAACATAGTAAGTTTTTTTGTCACATATTTTGAAGTATTCTAGTTGAGTAAAACAATATAAAATTTTGTAATCAAATAAATTAAATAAATAAAAACATTAGCTTATTGTCTAAGAGGTACTCATAAACTTAGTTGTGTTGCAAAGAAATATCATACCAAAGGAAGAGTTTACATCTTGGATGTGTTGAGATATTGTATTTATTATTCTATAATGTGCCATTGACAAGTAAAACCTCAAGTTAATATTTTGGTGACCATCTTAGAGATGGTCATTTAATTTAAGAGAATAAATATAATAAATGATGGATATAGCTATTTGTTTGGAAGTATGACTCAACAAACCACCAATACTAGAGAATATAATTCTAAGAAAAGACATATGTATTAGAAAAGAGAGTAAAGACAAATTATCTCTTGACCATGAAGAAACATTAGAAAAAAACTTGGAAGAAGAAGAGGACTCTATGAAGGATCTCTTGAAATGGATAAAATACCAAGTTTTAGCTATAAATGCCAAAAATATAGAAATGGATGTGAGGATCTAAGAGCTTGTAATAAGATTACAAACACAAAATATTGTTGTGTTACAAGAAACTTCTTCATTCACTATACCATCATTTTTGGCAAAACTAACTACGACACAAACTTAAGTGGCTAAAATTATACTAATTATTATACTACTTGTGGTAGAAATAGTAGTGTTGTTTAATGAGGTACAATGTGCAATTCTAGATCTAGTATTTTAAACAAGTTAAAATCCAAATCAGCACCTTTTACTTTTCAAAAATATCACTAGGATCAATCAAATTGATGATCCAATAGACTTTAAAAAAAAAAATTGTTACAACTTAAGAAAGAATGGGAGTTGATTGGACCTATGACTTCAAAAAACACCTTGTTGTGTCTTGGGAAGAAATGGCAAATTTTTTTTTAAAGAAATTTAGGACTTTTAAAAGTAATAAGAAAGTATAATGAATATTAATAATAATTAGACAACATCCAAACAAACCAATGTCTTTTATAATTGATTCAAGAAAATATTAGATAAACTATAAACACTAATTGATGACTTTGTATAATGTAATTGGTTCCAAGAAGGTTTACACATTTCACTTTAACAAAGATTAATTTATATATAAGTTACTTTATTATACAAAATATCAGATGCAGCTATACAAATTTCCAAAGGACCAAGTGATATCGTTAGTTATAACATATTGCTACAAAGGTTGGTACAACATGTGCTCATGTATAATATTTGTAATTATTGGCATCTACTATCTTGCAAATGAGATCATCAAAATCCAAACAACTATCTTGCAAAATGACTACAAAACAAAATAAATACATTACATCTAAATAAAGCCCATTAATATGCATTTCAATTAAATCAATAGTTACATATAAAAAATAATTTTTAGAATTTTAGATCTACTTAACATAATTTTTAAAATTATCCAACGTATAAATTATGATGGCTACTATCTTAAGCAAAGAATTAAGATTATAGAGGCAGTATGACTATTTTTAAGTTGAAGGATGTAAGTACAAGTGTTTCAATTATTTTTTCCACAATAACTTGATTGCAAAAAGACCAAGTTTTGAGAACAATGGAATATTAAGTAGAATTCTAAAAACCATTTTGTCTATAATATTAGAATAGAGTATTCAACCTCAAAACAACAATATAAGAAGAATTTAAAATAACACAATTGAGTATTCTAACTTGAGACAAAATCTTGAATACTACAAAAGTTACAATTACATTGAAAAAAATATTGGAACTCAACTCAAATCTCCAAATGTATTCACAATGATTACGCAAACTAATTACTATAATTCTAAAAGTTATTAATATTAATGCCTCAATAATGGATCTAGATGCTTCAATAATCCATATATTATGAAGACAACA